TTGTATACCTTGAACTTCAATAGCAAAACCATATTGTGGATAGTATATATCAAGCTCAAGTCCTAATGGATGATTAGATGTTTTTAAGAAATCTGGTCTACGAATATCGGATGGTGGGCCTAATAATTTTATTGCTATTTTCTTGCAAAGATCTTGTCTTTTCCATGGACAAAATGGACACCATGTATTTGCATTTTTTATACTATTTAAAGTTGCGTACCATTCATGCTTTTTTTCACACTGCCGTTTTAATTTTGTATGCGCATCATTATATGTTTCAGAAAGACATAATCCTTTATTTTTAGTTGCAATTTTTATAGCTTCCTCAATAGAAAGTTTTGCATTACCTAAACAATAAGGACACCATGTATCCAAATTTCTTACACAACCAAGGCTTAAACTCTATTGATGCCCTTTATTACATTTTCATAAAAGCAGAGATATAATATTAGTATATTTTTCAAACAAACATTTTCCATCTTTTTTAAGAGCAATTTCTTTAGCAATATTAATATCAAGTTTAGAACGTTCTGCACATTGAGAACACCATGAATTTTGATTTTTTATTGAATTTAATACTGCATGCCAAATATGTCCTTGACGGCATCTCCATTGTAATGGAGTAGGAATATTAATATACTTATCTGATAAACATTCGCCATTTTTAGATCGAGCTATATTTCTAGCTAAATCTAAACCAACTCTTCGAGTATCTACTACACATTTAGGACACCAAGAATTATGATTTCTTATCTTTTCTAAAAGAGCTTGCCATTCATGTTTTTTTGCGCACTGCCAGAAAAGTGGTATATAGCTATTTATATATTTTTCAGAAAGACAAATACCACCTTTTTAAACGCAATTTCTTTAGCAATACCAATATTAAGTTTAAAACATTTTGCACAATGTGGACACCATCTACCTTTTTTTATATCACATAAAGCAGACTTCCATTCATGAAACTTAGCACATTTCCAAAGTAAAAGACTTTTATTATTGATATAATATTCAGAAAAACATTGTCCACCTTTTTCTAAAGCAATATTTTGAGCATCAATTAATGTTAATTTGCGTCTCATTTTTTAGAGGAAACTTTGTATTATCTATCTTATTGTTTAAAATCTAATTATTAAGTATCCATTGAGGAGGTAATTGCACATCTATTATGATTTGAAGCTCTTCTCTAACAAAAGACCACTTTGGTCCATTGCCTTCATCATCTTCGAGCCAATATAAGATAGGCTGATTTTTTTGCACCAAAGATTCACAAATATAATAAACTTGAGGCGACCAATTGCAATCAGTCGATCTTTTACTTCCACCTTCTAGCTCACCAGGTTCAAGTAAATAGTTTACAGGGGTATTATAAGATAGCTTGGATTCATCAAAGCCCATAGATCCATTGCATAATTTAGAAGATAATAAAATAATCTTTTTTATTTTTATAGCTTTAGCAGGGGCCATGCTAATTAATCTAGTTACTGAATTATTAAGGTTATCAATAATTACTTAAAGATTTTTAACCCAAGCCCTCGATCTCTTAGATATAGGCAACAATAAATCTGAAGCATCTTGCAATCGAAATAATTTTTCAGCTAAAGTACGATTAAATCTTTCAACAATACCTTGGCTTCTATGTAATATGCCAATCTTAATTTTGACATTATGTTTTTCCATTAATTCTTTACAGTCTGATTTAAATTCTAAACCAGGATCAACCATTAATAATTTAGGCCAAGTAAGAGGGCAGTTAGAATTACTATAAACTTTTTTAAAAGCTTTAGCTACACTACTAGATGTCTTATCTGTTAAAGGTACTGCCCACTTAAA